AAGGAATTGGGTTTTTTTTAAAAGGTGGTTGCCAAGGGAGGAAACCCCACCCCGGAGGCAAACCCCGGGGGGGGGGGGGGGGGGGGCGAGCGAGAGAGACAAAGAGAGAGCACCCAAGCAGCACGGAGATAATTTCTATTATTGGTGGTGACGACAAAACAAACAACATTGGAGCTTCGGGGGGTCGGCGCACGCACGCTCACTCCGCCGCCACCAGCACCACGGCGGATCCCTGCCGCTCGCAGCGACAGCGCCCGCTTGTGCTCGTGAGCCACGCCGCCGGCGTGCACATACCGCGCTGCCAAACGCGGAGCGGCATGCAACGGCGTGGGTGTTTCGAGCTCCACGCTCTCAGAGCCGCGTGATGGCCCCACGCAATCATGAGCCCGTAAGGAGAGGGGGAATCAAGAAGAGACGGATACTTTAGCCCAGGGCAAGGGGCGCGCCGCCAGCATCGGGCGAAAACTCGCGCAACCAACCTCACACCGCACGTGTGACCTCTTTCTCTTGCTATTTAGAGCAAACGTAGACCGCGACTCTGTGCATGCTGTTGTACGTTCCCAATGGCTCAAAAACTGCACGTGGTGTATCAAACCTCAAAAAAGTGTCTTGTCTGCTGCGCAAACGACTCGCCGTCTTTTCTCCGATAGACTGCCCGAAGTCGACCTTCTTGAAGCCGCTGGCTGGCTCGTGGAAAATCTCGTTGCCATCCTTAAAGCCGAGAACCTTCTCGCATAGGATGAGAAACTGTTGGAGAGGAGGTGGCGAATCAACCGGCAGCGGATTGGGAGACGAAAGGGAAAGCCGGGGATGAAATGGGGGGGCCGTGGTTTGAAACCGGGAGGAGTTAGGGGAGGGGGTGGGTGGGTCGATGAGTAGGAAAAAACGCCCACGACCAAGATAGTACGGGACAGACAACGAACCGGCGTGGCGCTTGCCGTACGGTTGAAATATCCAAGACCAACCGCTGTGGCCATCTGCTGAAACATCCAAGAGGGGCGATCCCTTTTGTCAATCGATCACGCCGCCGCTCGCGTACCGTGGCGCTCAGGATGGTGGTGCCCGCATTCCCTGTTCCCGCGGTGTACGCCGAAAAGTCGATCGACTCCACCTCGCTGGCGCCGCCAAGCATCTCGCATGCCTGTAGTTCATGTTTGCGTCGCGTAATGCCCCCCCCCACCCCCCAGCCTCCGCCCCGCCCGGCCACACCGCCGCACACCCCGAGGGGACACACGGAGTAGGGAAAAGCCGCAGAGAGAAGGGTCGAGGGGACATGAAACGGGGAACAGGGTCAACAACAAGACGGGCAACAGTGCGTGAGCATGCGCTGTAACTTTGTGCCACAGGCGAGAGCGAGATGCGCCATTCCCGTTACGCTCAAACTACTCGAGCAAAAACACTGGTTGGATGCAAATGGCAAGAACCTCCCTCGTGTACAGCAGTGGTAAAAGCAGGGACTCTTTCCGAGAGGCAAACTCGCTACGTACGACCACACCGTGGGTCTGAAACACTTGTGCTGCTACCCGTTCATTCACTCATACGGTACCAAGTGTGTGCTGCTACCTCATTCATTCACTCGTACGGAACCAAGTGTGTGCTGCTACCTGTTCAGTCGCTCGTACGGAAACAAGTTTGTGCTGCTACCTGTTCAGTCGCTCGTACCTCAACCGCCATGAGCTGATCGATGCCGGGCCAAATTCCCGCCGATATCGTCGCCGAGACCCCAGCCTCCTGCGCTTTTTCGTTGAGCGCTTTAGCCACCGTCGCCAAGCGAGCGTCATCACAGACATCCACGTAGGGCACCTGCACGCATGTGTCAGAGGGGAAGGGAACGCACACACACAGCAGTCTCAGCAGAGAGAGCCGGCCAAAAAGAATCGCAGGGACGAACTTTCTGAAGCCAGCAACAAGCACACTGGGGCGAAGAGCCAGTAGTCGGATAGAGCAAAATCCACTGCAGGGTAATGATGCTAGCACAGGAGGGGTACATACCGCAGTTAGGAACGCTGCGTGTTGCACTTTCGTGTTTTCCTTTTGCCAGGTACATGTACCTTGAATCCGGAGAGTCGGGGGCGCCAGCTGACAAGAATGCGTGTTCGTGTTGTTTCGTCCCGGTATCAGACTGATGGCTATTCTTTCAATAAGTGGGAGGGTTAGCGCGATCGATGCACACGCACATACGCCTGGTGTGGGTAGTACCGAATACTCCTGTTTTGAGTACCGCGCAAGAAGCGGGGAGCTACAGCAAGTAACAGCTGTGGTGAGCAGCGCGAGTGAGCCCTCGCCTTCTCTCGAGTTCGAGCCACGAACAGGAACAGCACAAACAAAAAAAGACGGGTACTTCTTGTGCAGAAAGACAGTGACAGACAGTTCTCGAGGAGAAATAATTCACTTGTTGCTCATCAGACCGTTTGACTCGTTCATACTCTTTGAAGAGACGCCTCAAAGGTAGGTTAGGGCGAGGGAGCGGGGAACTCAAGAGGTGCCCAACCCAAGGGAAATAAAAAGACTTCTTTGCAGGACAACCGTTGCTGCCAATAGGATGAAACAAGCATCAATCACTGCGTGCACATCTTAAAGCCGTGGCCTACAAAGCAGATCTTGGAAAGAGCCCTCCTCTCGCCTTTGCCGCTATCGCAGCCTCCAACACCTCCGGCCTTGTCTTCCTTTGGAACGGCCCGGCCGTGTGCACTACCAGGTCGCAGCCGTCGAGAGCGCTCGCCAGGGAAGCGGCGTCGCCGAGGTCCAGCTCGACGAATTTCACGTCCGAGTAGTCGTACTCTTCGTCTGCTCCTGGCAGCGTGCGCCATCGCTGTTGGTGGTGCACGAGAGGTTCTCAAACCAATCGCGTGCAGGATGCGATAAATAGCGAGGGGGTGCGAAGGACGGGCGGGGGTGGGGTGGTGTCACGGGGTGAGACGAGGACGAACCATCTCACTGCTGTTTGTTGGTGTAAAGAATATTGTTGTGGTGGTATGCCCACGCAAGTGGAAGCAGAGGCTGACACCCACCGACGCTATTCGGCGTGGTACCTCATAGAAGTACGGCAGTCGCACCTCAGCGCGGAACACGTATGCATAGCAGCAGCGTCAACAGCAGTTGTAGCTGATTTGAACGGATATTATTGTACCTCGACGCTTTTGACGAAGTTCCGCTGGCTCCGTCCACCAACCAAGAGCTCGAGGCCCGGCCCTGCAAGCTGTCGGAGAGCTCTCACGGTGCTCCCCCCCACCCGCCCGGAGCCCCCGACAACGATGACCCTCGCGTGTTTGTCGTATCCTCGTGCACCACCACCATCATCGCCCTTGGCACCTAATCCGCTCGGGGTGCTGCGACAACGAAACCGATGCCCGTGCGTACTAGTATCCCTGCCGCTGCTCCTGCTGCTGCGGAACCAGTTTGGGGACAAACAACGCACGCCTATTGGTTGGTACGCACGGCGAGTTGTCATGGATCGTAGCATAGCAGAGGGCAGACGAAGGCACACACCGGCGGATCTACCTTTGGCAAGAAGGAATGAAGACAGCTTACATTAGAAAAGGCGGCCCTTCACACACATGTGATTGTTTAATGCTTGACGGAACTACCCGCACCATACTCTCCAATACAACCCAAGCGCTACAGGTACGATACTAGCCGTGCGTGTGAGGGTCCAGGGTAGGAAGATGGGCACGGCATCTGATGAGAACGTGAACCTGTCATACGAAACATGAACGGCCGGGTAGTTGGCCCGCACACACTCACCTCGTGCGGGATTCAAGCTGGACATAAAAAGCCCCAACCGGACAATAGCAGAGCCATAAAGCGGCAGCTAGCAAAACCTGGATCTGGATTAAGGCATGGACCATTGCAGATAGATAGAGAAGGGAGGTGATGGTGATGGTGAACACTACACTGCATCAACTGCTTGCTGTGTGTGTCGTCACACAACGTCACACCAAGAGGCAACGCGAAATGTACACACAGTACTTGTTTCGCAGTACGCACATAATCCAGTGTGCGAAGCCCCTCCCGGCCGCCGAAAGCAGCGACAGAGCAGCAGCCGCAGCACATACACGAGAGCTCGCTGTCTGCTCGAACAACTGGCCCGGGGAGGGGAGAGGGAAAGAAATACTATCAACATCTACGTCGGGTTGCTGGACTCCTTGGGTTCGGAAATCGATGAAGCGGGTTCTCGCAACCGCAGTAGTTGCCTGCAGCTCGCTCCACCTGGCGCGGTCGCACGCGTCCTCCGCAGGATGGGGAGCACCAGGTTCCACGGCAGGCGGAGCGGGCGGTGCTTGGCCGAGCTTCCCCGCTGAAGACCCGCCTAGCAGACCACCGCAGGGCTCACAAACTGACCAACCTCCTGTGGACCCCGCCAACTACTACAACAATAACAATATCCCCCCAGGGAATTTGAACGCTCCGGCTGCCGCGAACGGAGCTGCTGCTACCGGCTATCATGACCCGTCAACGTACCACCCACAGCAGCAGCAGCAGCAGCAGCAGCAAGAGCGACAACCACCACCACCACCACCATATGGGTCTCCGAACGTCCCGCAGCACTCGCGATGGGCAGGACAGCAGCAGTACCCGCCCAACCAACAGCAGCAGCATGTGAACGGCCAGTTCCCTCGACGAAACGAACGGTATCTTCCTCCAGCACCAGGCGATGGCAATGGCGAGCCCATACACCTGGGGACGAGATGGCGGGGCCTCGTCTCGAGAGTCAAGGACGCGGTTAGGTCGGGGCAGCCGCCGCCGGCGAACTACGGCGGACAAGACGGAGGAGGGTATCATTACGGCGGGGGCGGCGACGGCGGCGGCTGGGCCGAAGGTGGGGGCGGGTACTCGCCGCCACGGTCTCCCTGGGAGGGCGGCGTAGACCAAAACACGGGGTACAGCTCTCCTCCGGTAGGTAGCGGTGGGCAGGCTCAACAGGCCTCGAACGGCGGCTTCGGTGGTGGCTACGAGCAGCAGCAGCAGCAGCCGGCGTTTCCTGGTCCACCAGCACCGGGTTACGACCCCCCGCCGGAGGTGGCACAGCAGCAGGGCGGGTACCCGCTCGGTGGCGGCAGCGCCACCGCTTCCACCGATGCCTCTTTCGACAACCGGCAGGGCCAGCAACACCCCGCGTCCACTCCCCCGCCGTTCTTCGACCCTCAAGCTCCACCTCCTGTTCCGCCGCAAGACGATGGCGGCGGCGGCGGCAGCAGCAGCGGGTACGGTAACGAACCTAGGAGCGCGGGGGGGTACGGTGATGGCAGCATCGGTGGTGACACCGTGGTGGACACGTTCGGTGCCGCCACGGTGCCGGAGGGTAGGCATGGCGCGGCGGGCAGCAGCGGCTCGGAGCCGTCGTTTGAGCCCCCGCAGGCGGGAGCTGCGTCGGTAGGGCAGGGCTGGTCAACGCCAGGCGTGGATGCCGTCCCCGCTAGGGAAGAGCCCGCAGCCGAAGGCGGGGAGGATGATGATGTAGGGAAGGCCGGATCGACGACGGCCACGGTACCGGCTGACCCACAAGGCGGCGGCGTTTCGGGGAGCGGGTCGACGGCAGCAGCAGCAGCAGCAGCAGCAGCGTGGCCCGGTGTGGACAACGCCGATGCTACCGAACCCTCTGTGAGTCGTGCGGGAGGGAGCGAGCCCGTGGTAGGGACGGAGGTATTCGACAGCAGCAGCGTCGGCGGCGTCTCATTCCGGTCGAACGGGGGCGACGGCGCCCTAGACACGATGCCAAGCTCGGCAGACCATGGAAAGGAGGAGGTGGACTGGGGGACCGGGGTCGAGGAGGACGGTGACGAGGAGGGGAAAGGAGCGGAGGGCGAGTCCGGGGAGACGGTGGAGGTTCCCGGCTCGGAAGAGAAGCTCCAACTGGAGAGCGAGGAGAAGGCGCTCATACGCGAGTTGGAGCGCATGGACAGCACCATCGGCAACGGGGACGACCCACCGAGCATTGGCAGCGAGAGGCCGCGGGTTGTTGGCGACGGCGGTAGCGGCGTGTCTACGCTGTCGCCGACGACACCGCCGCCGCTGCAGCCGCCGCCGCCGTCGTCGGAGCACCAGGCGATGATCGACAGAGAGGTGGAGCACCAGCTGGACGATCTGTTTGACAGCATTATCCTCGACGACGCCGACGATCCCGATGCCGAAGGCGGAGAGTACGCCGTTCCGTCGGAGGCGGCGGTGGTCGGATCAGGGGGCGTGCCGGGGCAAGGCTGGGGTTCTCTTGTTAACGATCACGAGGAGGAGGCGGTGGACGCGGTGCGAGAACAGCCGGCGGCGGGGCCCACGCAAGCGGCAGACCAGGATCGTCGCACTCCCTCCTCGCACGGTGACGCGAGCGTTCATGCCGCAGCGGACGCGCGGGCGCGCGGCGGCGTTTCGACGCCCGGCGGCGCTCCCCCCGGGGCCGCGAGCACGTCAGCGGTGGCGGGCGAAGAGGAGGAAGGAGAACCGCCGGTGGCAGCGGAGGCGACGGCGATTCCTGAGGTCGGGTCGTCGTCGGGCGCGGGCTCGGCGGGATCGTTGTGGGGAAACACCAGGCGCTGGGAAACGTTACCGCCTCAACCCGATGCGGCCACCTCTGATCCGGTAGTAGTATTAGTAGAAGAAGAAGAAGAAGAAGAAGAGGAGGAGGAGGAGGAGGAGGAGGAGGAGGAGGAAGGGGAGGAAGATTTGGAGGACGAGTCGGATGTACGGGTGCTGCTGGACCCGATCGAGTTGCCGCCTTCCGCGGCCAGCGACGAGATTTGGAACGACCAGCACCTGCAGGACCAGCTCGACGCGTACTGGGAGCAGAGCCGGAGGGGGGGCGCGGGAGCGGGAGCGGCGGCAGCGGCGCCATCGACGGCGACGGCCGGGGGAAACCAGCTGTCGGCGTACGGGGGGGGCGGCGGCGTGCCGCACTACGGCCCCGGCGACTGGGTGGGGGGAAACGGCGGCGGGGCGGCGTTGTTGCCAGAACCGCTGCCCGGTTCTGCGGCGGACGGCGCCGCTCGTACCAGCGGCTGGGTGGCGTCGCCTCGCCTTTTCGACGGGGGCAGCCAATCGCCGATCAACATCTACGGCAACGTTCACGTGCACCTGCAGCAGGGTGGCGCGCAGGACGGCGGGGCTCAGCAACAGCAACAGCAGCAGCAGCAGCAGCAGCAGGGGCAACCTTCGCCGTCTTCGGAGCTTAGCGCGAGGGAAAGATACTACTCGCAGGGGGAGACGAGCTGGTCGGGCAGCGAGCGAGGGGGGCAGTAGCAGCCGCATGTTTTGAGGGCGGTCGACAGGGGGGTGACAGCAGTAAAAGTATGCCCTCCATCTTTCTTCGTCATGGGGTGGGGCCGCCACGGGGGGGGTCCTCTAGAGGCATAAGGGTCAGTATTCTGGGATGGGAGGTGAGGAGAAAGGCGGGCAGAACTCCCGTGTCATGTGTCTACAGTATGTGGTGTTTTTTCCCCGCCGAAAATCGTGAGAGGGCTAATCAATGTACGCGGCGACTATAAGTGGTGGCATTGTTTTTTCTGGCGTCTCGGGGGGGGAGATGGACGGTTGATTGGCAGATCGTGCTTAGTCGGGCGGTAAATTTCGATTTCGAGGCGTGATGCTTTGTTTATCCGTGGCCTTCGTTTTCGTTGTTCGTGGTTTCGACGCGTTTTGGGCGTTTTACTTCCTCCTCATGTATGTTGTTTCAGTAGAAAAATGAGGTTGACCGATGGCCTAGAGCCAGCCAGAGTTGGGAGGGGCGCGCAGTTTCTTGAGGTAAATGAATACGACGTTTTATTTGGCCACGGTGCCGCCCGCCTGCGTCTTTTGTTCACTGCTGCGTGGACGTTCGTGGTTCCGGACGCTGTCGTCACCGATCAACCAGTGGCGGATCACCACGCTGATTCCCTTTTTTTTTTCTGCCTCCATTTTTTGTGCCGTGCGAGCGCACAACAACACCGCTCAAGATCATACCCTGCAGCACCCGGGCGTTAGAATCACATTGTTTGACGCTACGCCGCGCAAGCAAGGGTTATTGCATGACGTAAAATGCTGACGCGTGACCCGGGGGTAAACCACGTTTTTTTCACCGCAAGCGTGAAGGCTCTCATCTCATTCTCGAAGACCATGTGACTCACCAACTAACCACCCTTTAAGGGAGAGAGGTGATGGAAGTTGCAGTCCGTGGATTCGACCAAACAAATTGTCGCATCGAGCAAATTGAAACCTATTTTCGCCTGTCTGTGCACTGAAAGTATAGTTTCGTCCGTGTGAAAAAAAACTTAAGTTACCTGGGGGTTGGTGGCACACGGCGAGCGCTAGAGGTCTTCGATAGTGTTGGCAACCCCAAGAGGAAATTATTGTGGCACAGAGGGCATCAAGCAACACCGTATAGCTGGAACACACGGCGAATAGTAGGTCTCCAACGTGTGTGTGTGTGCCGTCCCATCCATTCTGGACGTCATCAGTCTTCGCATCTTTCCGTGTGCTACCTGGTTGCGCCAATCGCGCGGGGTCACACAGACAGGACGAAACAAGGCCCCACGAAGAAATTAATTGAATCTATTTCGTCTCCACCTTGTCTTCTTCTTCTGCGGTTATTTCCTTTCTCTGTTTGCCGAGAAGGATTCAGCCGTTCCATCCCCCCGTCGACCGTGAGGTCGAAGTTGTGGCGTACACTCCTCGTACGTGTAGACTTGGGAAATCAGAGGCTGGTTGTTAGACGACAGAAAACGCCGAGTACTACCGGAGCTGGTGGCGCACGTGCCGTAGCAGGCTTCGAACGACTTGTGGTTGTTGTTGTTGTTGTTGTCTTCACATTTAAATCCGATCTCTGTACCCAGTATGTACCTTCATCTGTCTGTCCGTATGTACCAGTCCAACACTTGAAAGCGGTCGGTTCCCGTGGTCACAGGATAACTTACCCCAAAACAGGTATACCAGACTTATAATGGACCCGAACAAGTTGACCCGAAGCGTCCGCAAGTCAATAGAAATCAACCAGACAAATAGCCTACAGTAGCAGCCTCCGCTCGCCTCTTCACGCTACGCGAGGTAAACTAGACTGGAAGTCAACATCACGGGTAGTAGGTATTTCCCTGGTTCTTGGTATTTCACAGAAGAGAAGAAAGACGGTCACGATCTGGAAAGGAAAATGAATAAAAAACAGTAGCCTCCGCTGACGCTATGGACTTGTTGCTGCTATCTTAGACTCTTTTCTATAAGAGAGAGAGATGGATTTGTTGGGTCATATTAAGAAAACAAAAAAAACGAAAAAGAAAAGAAAAAATAAGACAGAGGGAGAAAAAGAGAAGAAAGACGACGAACAACGCCAGAAAACCACTAACTACGGCTGTACCTACTACCTACCGTAGCGACAAACTAACAAACAAAACAACAAAAAGGGCCACCCCGAGACAGCAAAGGCACGTCATCGCTCGTGGGGGGGTTGGTGTAATGGTGCATCAGTGATGGGTGGGAGGGGATTATCACGGGGTTCATCAATCTGGCAAACGTGACGCCACTCGGTCTGCCTCTTGGGAAAAACAAACAAGCATTGATCGTACACCATTCGCACAAGTAGTGAGGTATGAACCCACTCCAAAGAACGTTCACGATCCTCAATCCCTAACATGCGAGGTACACAAACATCGCCATCATCGCGCTTCCTCGCCAGACAAGCCACGTCGGGCCAAGGAGCACCGCATGCTCAAAATCATTCGAACGGTGTAGTACTATAGGTGCATCGCTGGGCTGCGCACTCACTCCTGAGAAAAAAAGTTGCTGCGACACGCACGGGTTCGTTGAAGAAGGCCCGTCCGTTATTTTGCTCTCCCTGGCTTGACAGCGACGTCGACTAACATGCCAAGCAACATAAAGGCTACCTACACGTACGACGGAGGATTCAAACAAACATCACGTTGTCATCGTTGTTAACAAGAGAGGTACACTGGTCTCTACAGGCAGTAGTAATAGCAGCAGCAGCAGCAGTAGTTTCTGCGAAAAAATGGTCACACACAAGGCCAACGACACGAAAAGGCGAAGTACACATCATCATCAGTTCTTCTTCACTAAATCGAATTTTCAAAACGGAAATACATTAGCTCTGACGGGGCGGTACAAACACAACGATACATCGGCGGTGCCCCCCGACCCCAATCCAGACCAACCCTTTCCCGTCCCATCACAGATCATCGGTGGTCGCAGCGTGCCCAAATTTCATAAACAATCGTATCATCCGCTACCGCCCACAGCGGACGGACCGTACAGACAAAATGTTCTCCGGTAGCCAAAGCGTATCGTTTTCAAGAAACTGAAACAAGTTCGGGGCTCGTGGCCGGCGCGTGGGGGGGGGGGGGGGGGGGGGGGGCCCCTCTCTTTATTCCCCCCCCACCCGGGAAAAAATGGGGGTTTTAAAACCCCCCCTTTTTTTTCCGGGCCCCCCCGGGGCGGAAAGGAAAAAAACCCCCGAACCCAAAAAAAACCACAAAGGGGGGGGGTGAGCCCCCCC